AGTCAGGTTACCCAAACAACTTCTTGTCTTCTCAATGAAAACTGAAGGCAAACATATTTTTCTCATCAGCGGTTTCACCAAGGGCATAATAAATATGCTGTCAGCCACTCAGCTAATAGGAAGGTGCCAGGAACACAAAGCCCTGACCTAGTTCTGTGAGTGCTGCTCTAGGGAGGTGACCTGGGACTCACTCCTGTGAACAGCCTTGGAGTGAACACATTCTCAGAGGACACCCAGAGCCCTGTCACCCCAGGCTACCTGCAGGCTAAGCCAGCCTAGACATAGTTCTCTCTGTGACATTGGTCCAAATTGAACTGTATGTTTTTGCCATTTCAGGAGTCTAGCCCAACTTGTTCTTTCATAAACAATGGCTGTAAAAATGCACACTTACATATTTGTATTCTTCAAAAAATGTAAAGATTAGCCAACTTTTAAAATATTTAAACTTTCATTTTTAGATAGAAGTCTTGTTCTATTGCCCAGGCTAGTCTCAAATTCCTATACTTGAGTGACCCTCTGCCTCAGTCTCCCCAGCAGCTGGTATTCTAGGTGTTGCTGCTGCACCCAGTTTGTACTTGTGTTCTTAAATCTTTTAGAACCTTTTACATTTTCCATCTTTTCTGTCACCTGAGTGGCTACATTTTTTTTTCTTGACTTTAGTTCATTGCTTTTTTTCAGTGGGTGACTCCAGTGTGCCCTTGAGGTGTAGATGACACAGCCAACATATGCCTGTGTGGTTCTCAATCCTGCTCAGTCTCCGTATCATTTCCCCTTCACTGCTGCAGCTATTATTTAGAAAGAGTCTTGCTTTGTAGTCCTGGCTGGTTTAGTACTTACTCTGTAGCACAGACTGGCCTCAAACTCATGGCAGTCCTCCTGTATCAGGCTCCTCTAAGTTCTGGGGTTACAGGTATATACCACTATGTCTGGCTAATTTTGGGGCTTTGGTAAGCAGGGTTTCTCTGCATTGCTTTGGAGTTTGTCCTGAAACTCGCTCTATAGACCCGGCTGACCTCGAACTCACAGAGATCCGCCTGCCTCTGCCTCCTGAGTGCTGGGATTAAAGGCGTGCACCACTGTTTCCTTTACATATTAGATGCAACAGTTGAAACTGTTGCCTTTTTGGACTAACAGGTCCAGTTTTCACCTGCCTGCCCTCAGATCCCTTCAGAGGTCCCTAGTGACAGTCCTGGTGAGCATTCGGTGTCACCATGTCCACTCACTGTGCCAGCATCAGGCATGTCAGGTTTCACAGGAGAACAGCTCATGGATGTCTGTTCCATCTTTTTCTCCTCAAGGTGACATACCTCTTCAGATACTTGGCAACAATCCGCAGTGCATGGACTGCCCAGATGTCACTGATTGGGTTGCTGCCCTGGTAGGCTGGTCGTTGGATGGGGTTGGAAGGGCAGGGACTCCGCATGTTATAGGGAATGGCTGTGTATGACTCCAGAGCGTGGCTGAAGAGAAATGTTTAAAATACATGGAATGAGCATTGCTTCTTCTTCACCCTTCATCTCTCACAAAGATTATTATTATAACTACATTGAATTTTTTTTTTTTTTTGGTTTTTCAAGACAGGGTTTCTCTGTGTAG